AATCAGGTAAGCCAGACCTTACTTAGTAGTGTCTTTACTCTGAAGTGCTTCTAAATTGTGCCTGCAAAATATAGGCCTAATTCATTGCCCATCAGAATCAATGGAAGTCTCCCATTGACTTCAGTGGGCTTTGGATCAGGCCCTAAATACACATGCGCACAAACAGGAAATTTGTGCTTGCAGAATATGCATTGTGTTAATTGGGGGTAAGCCAGACCTTACTTAGTAGTGTCTTTACTCTGAAGTGCTTCTAAATTGTGCCTGCAAAATATAGGCCTAATTCATTGCCCATCAGAATCAATGGAAGTCTCCCATTGACTTCAGTGGGCTTTGGATCAGGCCCTAAATACACATGCGCACAAACAGGAAATTTGTGCTTGCAGAATATGCATTGTGTTAATTGGGTGCAAAACTGGCATATTTTCCATTCACGGTGACCTCTTTACACATGGACAAATGTGCCGGAGCAGATTGGATGCCATGTTTGGGAGGAGGAAAATGTTATCTTCACTAGTTTTATGACCAAATGTGAAGAGTCCATTCTGCTTCAAAAATAGAATTAAAACTTTCTGCCATGTATATGCAGCGGTGCACAAAATATTTCTGATTTTGTGATCTCCTGCTTCTGCTATGCATATGCAGCAGTGCACAAAATATTTCTGATTTTGTGATCTCCTGTTTTCTGAGAGAGGAAAAAAAGCTGTAGATGATAAGAGTTGGTGACTCAGTCCCTCCTCTCCTAATCATGACACACTAGTGTGTTTGACAGATAATCCTGTTTTAAAAAATGCACACGCTGCAGAGGAGTGTCTTGGACAAGCTGGAAAAAAAACATCAGGGAGACATAACATGTAAAAAAACCCAAACAAATGAGGGTTCAAGTTACGATGTCCCCAACGTGCGACTCTTCCCTGGGAACAGATTGCATCACAAGTCAGGAGCCTCCTGTATATCTTGCTTGTGAATTCATTCTGTAGAAACTCTTCCAGTTATTACCAGCTTCTGCTGCCCCTCTCCATGTATAAGAAACTCTCCCCTGTCTTCTTTAACTGAAACTTCCCTTGCTGTGCTATCCGTGTATTACACATGTCATGTACACATGGGCCAAATGGGAAGCTACGTGCATCTGAGTCCGGTGTATTACACATGTACACATGGGCCAAATGGGAAGCTACGTGCATCTGAGTCCTTTTTCCAAAGGGATGTGGACTTGTTAAAATGGGACTTTTCGTGTTGCTCTTGAAGGTTACTGCCTTAGAAATGTGGGGTCTTGGTACACTGACAGCCTATACACATTCATTTCTTGCATGTTGGCTTTTTCCATTTTCTTGAGACGAAGGCAAAAGGCCTTTTATTAAAGAAAGACACAATTTTTTTAGAAAGAAAACTTACATAGGGTAATAATTGAAGCTGATGTCCTTTAAGATTGATACTTTCAATCTTTAAAATATTTTAAGTTACTTAGTTCTGTTACCTGCTTTGCTACTAGTAATGCCATGAAATTATATTACAACTGAAATTAGATTTCGTGACTTGAAAGTCACTTTCTACAGTTTTGCAACTTATTTTTTTTTGCTAATATTTGTGAAAATGGAGGCAGGCTTGTCACCATTCTGGATTATGCATGGTAGTCCAGTGGTCTGCCCCTGCACTGCTCTGAACACTCCCTTAGCTGTGCACTCCAGGGTGTCATGTAATAGTCACTTTGATCTCTCCGGAGAAGTGAATCTGCTGATGTACTGTAGTGGTTATATCTACAGGTGTTAATACATTTGTTGCATTCATATGAATAAAGCTGTTGGAGTTCAAAATAGTCTCTGTAGTTTTCATTGTCATTCAAATTTAACAACTCCCACTGCTTCTCCAGCTCTCAGTATGTACTCAGCACCCCCAAAAACTGCATAAGGAGTCATCTCAACTTCTCCAGGTCTGGGAAGGCTGCTGAGATGTGAAGCTCAGTTTACAGCTGTTACTTCTGGGGGAATTCTGTATCACCTCATGTGTGCAGAATTCATGCTCCCTGCAGATTTCTTTGGCAGGGAAGCAAAGGGAGATGCAGGAGCAGTTGTGCCCCTCCCTAGTAGTGCAGAAAGGTCAATTTGGGAGCAGCTGGTAGACACACAAATCGCCACCAAGAGAGGAGTGCTCTTTGTGGAGGGGCAGAGCTTTGGAATGTTTCTGGGAAGGTAGATGTGGAGCAGGCTCAGAATGAAGCAGCCTGCCAGCTTAGTGAATTGTTTGATGCCGTTAGTTACAGGGAAGGCTTCTGATGGGTCACTCCACTCCATCACCCTGACCAGCAGGCCATCATGAAATGAGCACATGAGAGCAATTGTCTCCTTTGGACAGCCTCATTTTATGAAGGAGTTTCCATAGGTCCTTGCAAAAATTCACCATGTCAGAGTTCTCGGTCAGGTCAACAAGTTGGGTTCTCCGGTGTCTGTTCCAGTTTTTGCTTGTTTGCTGGAGTCTTTCATGGCAGCCGCATTGATTCATGGCAGCTGCATTGATTTTGGGGTGCTTGGTGAGAGGCAAAGCAACACAATGCTTCTCACAAGCTGATGGTCTTACTAGCATCCAGCACCTTTCCAAAAGTAGGTGTCTTCTCATCTTTAATTAGTCTTTACACCTTACCACTGTTTTGAATTGGGAGGCCACCATCTTGTCATATATTTGTTGTTCTGGAAAAGAGGCCAGTAGAAGTGAGATTGAACTTGGCCCCCTGGGGGAGAAGTAATTGTCCTAGCACCATGCTCCACATGTTGGTCAGCTCTCACATGAGCCTTGAAGACTCCAAGGACAATAAGTTTGCCCTGCTGTGGCTCCCCTCTGACAACTCTGTTGAGATCTTTCTAATACATCCACTTGATTTCATCTGTATGAGTCATTGTTGGTGCATACGTGCTGCTAATGGTAGCATACTGGTCTCCAGACAAGTTTACTCAGAGCATCCTAGATTGGACATTGATTCCCTTGGGAAGCAAATCAAGCTTGCGGGCAATGTGAGACTATATGGTGACCCTTATCCCTGTCTGGCCCAACTTGGCCTTGGTCTTGACAGTCCAGCAGTCGGTGTAGGTTGCTCTCTCATCCTCAAAGTGGGACTCCTCAGCAAGTCTGGTTTCACTGAATGCAGTGATGTCTATGTTCCACCTCAGCCCTACCAATTTCACAGTTGTGAAAAACGTCATGGACCAGGAAATAAGCCCTTCTCCAGGAAATCTGATCTCCATCTTGCTCCTGAGTGCTCCTGCCAGGAGGCTCCAGCTGTTTGTCCCTTTTGGGCTGGGAAGGGACAGGACTTGTCCTTCCCAGCACAGCTGCTCTAGCTCTCAGAAAATATCAGACCCACTTCTGAGTGCCTCCCCCTGTGGCAGGGAGCTCTAGCCCCAGAGGTTCCTCCAGCTGGAGGAGACTTGTGGAGGTGGGTCTGATCTCCCCCTGCTCCTAGAAGTGCCCTAGTGAGGGGGATCCTGTCTGCAAGTCTTTGCTGGACTGAGGAGGGACAGGACTTGTCCCTCTTTTATACAGAAACTCGGGGGGGAGGTGAGGGAGAGAAGATCAGACTCATATCGGGGTACCTTTTGAGTTGGGACTTCCATGGCTACAACATCATGAAATTTCAGGTGTAAACAGCTGAAAATATGAAACTGACCAATTAAAAACATGCTGGCCATGAAATTGATTAAAACGGACTGTGAATTTGGTGGGGCCCTAGCTTTGACTCTTCAGTGTTTTGGCAACAAGGGCTGTTTTTTGTTCTAGTCCTTGATCATTGTCAGGAAGGGGTCTGACAGTCCATGACCCAACTGTCAGTCGGTAAATCTTGGTTTTATTTTGTCTGCTGATTTGGCTGACCAAGTAGTCTGACAGCTACAGAATGGGCCAACTGTGTTTAGGGTTCCTTTTCTGTCCCCTTTCCCAGGACTGGGGAGAGCAGTGCTGTGCCAAAAAGGGCCCGTTCTCTCATGTCAGGAGGATACAAGCTCCATTTCTGCCCTGATCTGTGGAGAACCACTGTTACCTCAAGGCTGCCTGGATGCAGAGCTGAGACCATTGAATCTAGACCATCTCTGCCTGTCCCCATCACCACTGGACTCTGAGTTAATTGGGTTAAATGAGTTAGCTGAACAATTTACCTCATGGTTGGATTTAAGTGGGGGGAGAGGTTTGCACAGAGCCCTTCCCACTCTCATGCCCATGCAACTGTTTCCACGTGGTGCAATAGATGCCACACACATTAGAGCTCCTGCGCCCACTTCAGCTGCATTCAGAGTTGTGCTTCCACTAGATGAGCTAATGAACTGAGCTAAAGAGCATCATCTTCCCATAGGTATAGTGATTGGCCCATAGTTTCATATATAATGCAGGATGCTCTTATATGCCAGCAGAGGCATATGCTTCATCACCATTCTCTTTGCATAGTCTGCAAATGAAGACTTTGCTGTGACCCTGTCAGGGAGAGTTAGGGATTACTCACACCCAAGGTGTGACCCCAGAAAGTAGTGTAGGGCAAGAACATCTCATTCTTCCTGTGAAGACTTGTCAGATTTGCCAACTGTACGGTTATTACCTCATGAACAGGAGATGAAGTCAAGTTAGCTAAATGAATCTCCAAGCCCAAGACCCTTTAATTCACATTCAGTATGAGCTAATGTCCTGTTTTTGTCATTCCTGTTAATGTCACAATCTGCCTAATAACATTACTGTCTATTGTACCCAATGTAGTCTGTGCCATCCTGTCTAATTACTGATGACTCACTGTTATTCACTGATAAAGGTTAAGACACACACACATACAAACCTGTCACTGAGAGAGAAAGCCAATTACCTTTATTGTTTGAATAACTAACTCTTTTAAAAGAGCTTTCTGATATACAGGTGGAAAATGGATGAAATAATTAACTTTTTTTAAAAGGCTGAATATCCGGGGAAAGTTTCTGACACAGATCTCTTAGGCT